ATGATTATAGTGAAGAGGACGATTTACGATCCTGCCTTTCCAAGCTTACAACGTCTTTAATGTAACTATCTTCTGAGAAACTAACCCCCGTATTATCAATCATTGACTTTCTTTTCCGTTCAGGACTTTTCTCGGCACCTGAACCGTGAAACTGAGTTTTCTCAGGACACTCCCGTCCCCCATTCCCACAGTAAAATTCACTGTCTTTGGATTTATAGAACCCTGCAGCCATGAAAGACCCTTTGCCTCACATGGACCACTTGGTTTGTTAAGTCTGGGTCTCCCTTATTCATGGTTCTTTGGACTCCTTTAGGGGCATCTTCAAATCTGTCATGTCAACGCAATCTTCTTTAAGAATCTTAAATCACAAAACTTGAAGTTCAGCCCCACCACCATCACGAGAGTGGCGAAGAGAAGCTAAAACTTATAGCACCCCTGGTAATTCCCCGAGGTTTCAACTCGGTCGATCTCTTTCTTCTGCCTCTCAACTAGTGACGACGAAAATCCAACCTAGATAGTCCATTCCCCAGCCAAAACTCCTTCTTCAGAGCAGTCTGTAGCTTGAAGAATTCAATACCATGATAACCTATGGTCAAGCCATTTTTGTTAAAACTTCTTAGCACCCATGGTAATCTCCCGAGATTTCATCTCGGAGGATCTCATACCAAAATTCCTGCCACGAATTATTATTGTTTACACATTTTATTTCTGTTTTCTGACTTCCACAAAATAATAATAATTTTACAACTAACGAAAAACTGGAAAGGAAATAAAAAGTCTACATACCAAAATGAAAATTGAAGAACCATGGAGTACATTATATGAAAAAACGAAAATAGTGAAGAAAAAAAAACCTTACTTTAGCATTTTAAATCTGACCCATCTCGGAAGAATCACTACCAATCACTAGTGGAAAGTTTTTTTGTTTTTTTCATTTAAAAGTAAACATGATTGTATAACATTAGGAAAAACAATCATTATATAATAATATAAGTTATTATAATAGTAGCGATCTGTAAACCGCGTCCTCCTCTTCTGCCTATCTAAATGAAATGACGTCTAGAAGCCCAAAAAGAAGAACTAGTGACATCTAGAAGCGACAACAAGAAGTAGATGGTAGAGGCATAATAAAATGAAAATTGAAGAACCATGGAGTACATTATATGAAAAAACGAAAATAATGAAGAAAATAAACCTTACTTTAGCATTTTAAATCTGACCTATCTCAGAAGAATCAGTAGTGGAAAGTTTTTTGTTTTTTTTTCATTTAAAAGTAAACATGATTGTATAACATTGGGAAAAACAATCATTATATAATAACATAAGTTATTATAATAGTGGCGATCTGGAAACCGCGTCCTCCTCTTCTGCCTATCTAAATGAAATGACGTCAAGAAGCCCAAAAGAAGAACTAGTGATATCTAGAAGCGAAAACAAGAAGTAGATGGTAGAGGCATAATAAAAATGCTTATAAACATCTAATGTCTCACCTTGGGTGGGCATTCTTCACTGAGTATCACACACACTGATTATTGATAGGTGTACCTTCGTTAGTACTTTCATTACCTATATTAATTCTCGCCAAGTTATGAAGACGTCTCGTCCAGCGCTATCAAACCACGCAGGTAGCCTTCCCGTGGACAGACCAACCTCGCCACCGCATTCTAATATATCTCCTGTCGCCATTGAAGAGCTTCCGTATGAATACTTCCCCGGCAAATTAAGTACTTTGTCTGCAGATACAACCACAATTACGCCTACATCCCGAAGCCACGAGGAAACTATATAGGGGAGGAATCCTCCTACAACCCAGTTATTTGTAAACCCCCAAAAGCCAAGCCAGCTTCCACACAGTGCTCCTGTGAAATGTAGACATAACTGTTACCACACACGAAATACGCAATCCCCTCGAGCAAGACACCAACTTTAAAATCCATTCAGTCCATAGAATCATTCCAAAGAACAGAGGAAAGCCTTCCTGCTACATGATGATCATTACCAAATGCTGGAAAACTGCAGACTACATACTCTCCCATGGATGCTTCTTCCATTTTTTTAAACTTGAATGTAGAAAAGCCACACGTAAACCACGTCCACCTCCTACACGCCCCAGTACAGCTCCACCAACCTCGCTACCTCTACCAAATAACCAGCCAATTCGCGCCAGACCAAAGGATACAACCAAGGATCAATCCATACAAACAAATCCATCACATTTCCGACTCTCTGCCACCATGACAGATCCAGTTTTATTACCCAATCATACCACTCAGACCACACAGTTCAATAGGAAAAAAAGCAACCCAGACTCAGTCACCATCAGCAAATGACATTGAATCAGTAAACCTCCTTCAACAACTCCGTCCTTTCCCCTCAGAACTTCCCGCCGAACATTCGCCATCCAACTCACCGGATGCTCTAATTATCTTCTCCAACGCCTAAAGAACAAAGTTAACGAGTCCCACGCACAGGTTTCTTTCTCTTTCTTCTGTCGCCTCTCAACTAGTGACGACGAAGGTCCACCCTTAGACAATCCATTCCCCAGCTAAAACTCCTTCCTCAGAGCAATCCGTACCTTGAATAATTCCATGCCACGATAGCCTACAGTCACGCCTTTCACTTTTTCCTCCTCTACCACCAAGCCATTTTTGTCTAATATGTTCCAGGTTTAATCGGGCACTGGTTAGGTAGACTATCTCGGGGTACTCACATCCCCCCCCTCACCATATACACAACCATTTTTTTATTAGATTTATGGATCCCTGTCCCCTTGATGGATCATGAGTCCGATATCGGCCGCTTGTTAGACAAGAAAGTCAGTTCAGAAAGCAAGTCATCTAATGTGAAACTGCATGAAGCCCTAAAACCATAAATTCAGTATTCACAACCCCGAGCGGGACGAAGGGGAACAGCAGTTTCTGATCACCCCGATTGTCTTCGAAGATTTTCCTCGGAAGACTTCAAATCGAATTCCTGCCAGTAGATAGATAGAAATAGACATAAACTGATCTGAAGACGAAAGACAGAAGACTTTCGAAATGTCCTCCTCTACACTTGTGTTTTTTTACAACAGACAGTTGCCATCCATTCCAGTTTACTGATCATTTACAATACTTATTCTCAAGAACAACTGAAGTAACTGTTAGTATCCAAGTTTCGTACTCATTTTGACATTTTGCTTACAAATACTTAAGAATATAGTTTTAACACGATGAGTCAGTTTCTTCTCATAAGAAATTTATGATTTTATGCTTTATTTTTTAATAGTCACAATAGAAACGTCACATTTATTTGTTGTGGCTACTGAATGCTTGGTTAAGAAAAGGAATATCGGCTATTATAACGACGCGATAAAAGTTTGTTGTTAAACACGAAACTACACAGTAGGACTGTCTTTGCTCTGTCCATTGCGGGTATCGAAACCCGATTTTTAAGGTTATAAGCCTTCAGACTTCCCGCTGAGCCACCTTATAAAGGTATTTGATGTATTGTAAACTATATATATGTGTGTGTGTGTATTTTATCTAAACTAACATGATTCTTATGTTAAAAAATAAAAATATGAACGAAAAACAATTTGTAATAATTTTTAGGAAGCATCATGTTCTACACATGTGCGAAGATTGGTAGTTTCTCTTACAATATGTGAATGAGGTAAAGTCATGTATACTTTATAAATATAATGTTTTCGTTTACCATACGTAGTTTTTCTGTATATTTTGTAATTTAAAATTGCTATTATAAATAAACCGTTGTAACTTATTATATAGAAATAAAATAATTTACTTTAGTCAACCAGCTGACATTCAACTTTTTGTGGCAATTGTGCGTAATAATATTTAAGATGGACCCAAAACGGAAAGGTTGCATGCTTTATTAGAGTTGCTGTAGGCCTTGGGTATTCGTTGGAAAATACTGAATATTTACTAAAGAAAGTAACATTTTGATTCAGATTACTAATTTATTTTAATTTTGGTCTGTATGTATATGATAATTTGAATTTTTAAAGAAGGACGTCTGTGTACAGAACGTCGTTTAAAATAATGATTATAGCATATATTTTTACTATTAGTTAATTCATATTAAATCAGATGATGTGAGCAATATAATATTAAAAATCATCAGTATTTTTCCAAGGTTTTAAAAGAGGCCAGATGAGTAAGCCTCTTGTTCTTAGTTTTGGGAGATAGTGGGCAGATGCTACTCTTATTTTTATGCTAAAACTAAAAAAAGTAAAATGGGATTGTAAGGCTTGCATTGGAAATTATAGACCAATTAGTCTTACTTCTGTAGTGGAAAAATTCTGAAGTCTGTTAAAAGAAAGTCAACTAGTTAGATATGGTAAACATGGGGAAATCTTCCCTTTCTGTTCTGTTATTGTTAACTTTTTTTGAGGATGTTATGTGTTATCTGGATTATGGAAAAGGTGTAGACCTGATGTATTTAAATTTTCTAAAAAAATTTGATAAGATGCAACACCAAAGATTAGACAAGAAAAAAACTATATCAGTGGGAGTTGGAAAAAGATTAGTAAGTTGAATTGTAGGATGGCATTGGTAGGATAGAGGTAAGCAAAAACTTGTTATTAAAAGAGTTCTAGTGAAAGTGTATCTTGTTACTAGTGGAGTATGGCAGTGCTTATTAATGATTTTGATAGAGGCAAAAATTAGTAAAGTTTGCATGTTATACTACTATTGAGTATATCTACCTGTAGCTGCATTGAGGATGAAGTACTAGAGAATATTGAGGCCTGATAAATTGGTTAAGTGGACAAATATTTGGCAAATTACCTTCAATTGTAGTAAGTGGAAAATAATGCATTTGAGTTATCATAATTTGAATTACAAGTTTAATACGGATGGGGACCCACTTATTAGTATGACTAAAAATATCTTGGCTTGGTGATGGTAAGTCACATAAGCCATCTAGATAGTTCTCTGTTACTAGTAGCACAAGTAATATAATTTTAGGGTGTATTTATAGACACAGTGATTACAAAGTTATCTTGATTTTAAAATTAAATCTTAATTTCTTAACTAGTACAACCATATAACATAATACTTCACAACTAAATAATATAGTTCAAAAAGTAAAACACCACAATATCAGTTATTTGAACTCTAATAACCTGAATACCAGTAACTAGCGTTTAAGTTTAAGAAGTTTTAGGACTTGTATTTTGAACTCCCAATTCTACGCTAACACTAACATTATTAGTAAAATAAACTTCTTTATTTTAAAATAAAACTTATGAAGTTATTTACGCTGTATAGATGTTTATACAATATATTTCACATTAGACTATATTATATCTAAGATGAAAATGACTAGTTGATATCAAACTATTAAAATTAATAAACACCATGTTTAATGTTTACTAAGTAACACACTTTTATATTTATTTTTGAACAAATTAATATTCCAAATTATTCCAAAGTTTGATTCCTGTTACTGATCAGTAGACTCGTTGAACATATTTTTGTTGAAAAGTATTAAGCTGTTATATATTACAATTATGTCCATAAAGGACAAAGTATAGCTGTATATTTACAGGCAGAGTTCTATTAAAGGTGTTATATAAAACTAACATGGTTTGTGTTTCAATTTATCCATAATAGTTAAAGTTCTAAATTCACTAAATACTGGTGTTGTATGTTCATTATAATTTGCATTATATATATGTATATATATATATATATATATATGTTACAGTTTTTCATGATAAATATTATTTTTTGAATCTAATTCTGTATGTATTTCCCCCAGAACTTCACAACAGCAATTTAAGTAAAGGAAGGTTAAAGTACACTCTTTAGCATAAAGCAGTTCATTATTTATGTAAAATTAAAATACCGGCATTATTTGATATTTTTGTCTGAAGTATTCTAATATGCTCATTCCAAATCATTTTACTATCAACTTATACCCTAATAGCTAGATAATATTCACTTTTTCAACTTCTTTATTATCAGTTATAATAGATAAGTTTGAGGAATATATCCACCATAAAAAACATTGTCTGTTTTTTAACCTTCAGTGATAGTTTGGTCACTTCAAACCAGTTTCTCAACTTTTTTGATAGCACAGATTGGCTTTCTGCTTCCCTAAACTGTTGCAGACTACTATAATGCAAAGAAACAAAAAAAAACATTCTAATTTACATATCAATATTCTGCCAGATTTTGGGAACTCTTATGGACCAGTAAGGTGGTTGTGACTTCCATTAAACTATATCTAGTATAAAAAAAAGTTCCATCATCTCCAAACAAAATAAATTTTAAAATCTTTGAAACATTAGATACATCATTTATATGTAATTAAATATAATAGGTCCTAAAATTGATCTATGTAGTATTTCACAAGTAATATTTAACACAAATGATAAGCAAAAGCCTATTATTGAACATGCTTTACAAAATTTTTGAAAATTGTAGAAGTAAAGAAATGGATCTCTAATTTGTAAATGCATTCTTCTCTCTTGATCTGAAAATCTTTAACTATCTTACTATCTGTAATATTCTCTTCGAAAAAAGTAATAACAAATAAGCTATAACAATTCAGCAATAAATGTTATAAGAGAATTAAATAGCATACATACTAATTCCACCATACATAAGAAAATGTACTGTTTACTTTGTTAAACATTTACATAATTTTGTATTTACTAACAATATAAAGAAATATGCAGTTAACAGAATTGCAATGTTGACAGTATTGGAATTTAATATCATTACATGTAGGAATTTTATTTGCCAACTGACCCAATATTAGCAAAAACTTATTAAACTTACTAGTTATTTCCTTATCACTTATCAGTTTTACATTATTATATACAATGTAGTTATGCAAATTGCACATACATCAAATGTAATAGATATTGCATCATTTAGCCCTCTGGTGCTTTGTATTACATTCTAAACCTAGTATCATTTTCCCCAGTATTAAAGAGTGGGAACCCTGACCTGTTAACCATACTGCAGACTATATATAGTACATGGTTTATTGTGTTTTTTTTGTTTGATAGTTATGATCTTTAGTGGACAGTTTTTATTATAGCAATTTAGATATATATATATTTCAAAAGGTATCATTGGCAGAATCGAGATCATTACCATGTAACATTATATCCCAGTCAATTGAACTCAAATCATTTATGAAACTTTTCTTAATACAGACAGGTTGTGAAAATTCATTTCCTGATTTGAAATAAGTTATTTAAAGCACCTGTAAGTGATCACTAATATCATTTATCAATATACAACTTTATTAACACAAATTGGAGTTTGTTATTAGACATACCTATTAATGTAACTAAACTAATGACCTGTATTTCTAGAATTTGTATTTATTTGCTCTATTTTCTTATTACAGCTTTGATCACTTTATTCTTAAATGTTTTAATGCAACATTCTTTACATCTTAGAGACATGAAGCTTTTGTTATCAAAACTTTCATATTTCCTCTTCCTCCATGAGCAGTTCTATTACTTTTGGGGATTCTTTCTTCTCTTGAGTCCCTTGTTCCTCTTAGATGCAACCATATGCATCTCCCTTAGAAAACTCTGGCAAATTAAAGGAGTATGTCGAGAGAATCACTGTCTGTCTCTTCTAGGGCCTCTCACAATATCTGTTTACTTTTCATGACCCTGGGCTTTCATCTCTCTTCCTATACTTCACTTGGACTTACATCTGTTCAGTGATGCAGCTTCTGTCTGAATGGGGTGCAGTTTGAGACATCTGCACCATTTTTGGAAAAGTGGTCTCTCAGTGTCATTATCCTTGAGATATTGGCTGCTCAACCAGCTTGCCGTAATCTTTTGTCATGTGTGTGTCTGGTCACTTTTCATGATTTGTTGAGAAAACTACATTGTTATTTCACACCTCAACTGACAGGTAAACAAAAGTTTTGAGATGGCTTGACTGGGTAATGACAAAACTTTAATATAAATGTATGATGTTTTGATAAGATTGTCATACTCAGGTACATGTAGTTTACAGAGATACATGAGTATATATACGGTATAGAACATAGAGATCACATGACTGGATATTGCTTCACAGTCTAATATAGGTATCTTGGTACCCCAGGGTGTTGATTTAATGTGAGGCTGTTTTCTTCAATTAAAATAGCTTCTTTTATTTTGCATTTATTTATGTTAGGTTCTTTGTTTAAAATTATTGTTTTGCATGGATATACTGTGTTTTTTTGAGTTAAAATGGTGGCATACGGGGGAGGTTTTTTTTATTATGTTCAGCGAATCTGGTTTCCGATTTTGTAATTGTTTCTCCGATGTAAAATTCTGGACAGTTTGTAAGTGATGTTGGAATTGTGTGATTCAATGTAATTTTCAGTTAATAATGATTTTAGTTTAGTGCTGCGTTTTTGGGTGTTGTCATCATCAGGAATTTTATGTTTGATGGCAAATTTTCTCCAAGTGTTGATTATTTTTGAGCTGATGTCAGGGATAAATGTAAACTGCAATGTAATGTTGTGTTGTTTGGTATATTAGTGTCAATTTTGTTTGTGAGTTTAGTTTTGAGGTTTTTGTTCTGGTGGATGTGTGGAAATGACAACTTTATTACTGAACAGCTTTATTTTTATCTAGAGAAAACTGACTCACACACAACAAAACTTTATGGCATTCCCAAACCACACAAACAAGACTGCTCCATAACTTTAACTTCAGAGACACATTAAACCACCCTAAAGCCATAATGGCTAGCTTTGATGTTGTATCACTTTTCACCAAAGTCCCCATCAAAGGAACCTGTAATGTTGCACTTGATCTCTACAGTAATGACCCCAATCATTTACTTCATATTTCCAACACAATTTTCATTTTCCTTTTAGAATTCACAACAACAAAATCCAACTTCATTTTCACAACAAAAACTTTCTTCAAATGAATGGTTTAAGCATGGGCAACCCTGTTTCACCTATTCTTGCTAACATATTTAGGATCCAGATTGAAACACGAGCCATACAATGCTCACTTTATCCTTCCCTTTACTGGTACACATATGTCAAAGACACTTTTGCTGGTTTCACTTCTATAGAAGACATAAAAAATTTTTTTTAACACATAAACTCTGTTCACCATTGAACATGAAAATAACAAACAGTTGTCTTTTCTTAACTTTTACATTATTAGACCCGACACACATTTCCAAACCAAAGTTCACCAAAATCACTCGCACAGGTCTCTACATCCCCTGGAATTCTGCTCATGAATCCAAACAAAAAAATTATATACTAAAAAATCTTATACCACAATTTCAAGACTTTCCTCAACTGAGTACATAGATGAAGAAATCAACTCAAAAATGCATTCCTTCATTCACACCAACAAATTTCCACTAACTATTACTGAAACATTTCCACACAACCAGAACAAAAACCTCAAAACTCAACTCGCAAACAAAATTGACACTAATACACCAAACAACAACACAGTATTACACTGCAGTTTACCATTTATCCCTGACATCAGCTCAAAAGTAATCAACACTTGGAGAAAACTTGCTATCAAACTTAAAATTCGTATTGACATCAAATTCACCCAAAAAC